CCTCCCAGAGAGCTAGGATTACAGGCGTGAACCACCGCGCCCGGCTGCAATAACATTTTAAATAACTAATTTTATTGATTAATGAATGGAAACAATCTTTTAGCTCTTACTAAAAATATTGATAATATCTATCAGTGAAAGCAATGTGATTAAATAAATTTCATTATTTTTTAAAGTCTTGGTTTAATATTTTATGATAAAACGATTCAGATTCCAGGTTCTGTTTATTTTTGATAACTGGTTTTAATGGCCTCAGAGATGCAAAAATATCATAAAAAGATATCCAAATCCAAATGAAAGAAGCTCTTGGTGGTTATATTTATTAAACCATGATATTAATTTTCAATCCCATTCATCAATTATGTAAAGATTTTTGCTGAAATGTGGCTAATAAATTTTTCCTGATACCCAGCAATTGTTTGTATAAGGTAATACATGCTCCATATTTATATATTAAACAGATTATTTGAAAACCAACTGAAATCCTCTACTTCAGCAGGGAGATTTTAAACAGATTAGAAAAATCTGTTACTAGGTTTTTAAAGTGGGTAGATATTCATTTCTATGAGTAAATTCACATTTCTAAAAATACATATTCAAAATGCTTTCACTATAGCAAGGGTCAGCAAATTATATCCAGCCCAACACCTGTTTCTGTAAGTAAAGTTCTACTGGAACAGAGCCACGCCCATTCATTTATGTATTGCCAGACTGCTTTCACGCCATGATGGCAGAGTTTAGTGGCTCCAACAGGGAGTACATGCGCATGACCTGCAAAGCTGCAAAGATTTGCTATCCGAACCGTTACAGGAAGAAATGTGCCACACTCTGCTCCACAGCATCCATTTCCTTCAAAAAAGCAGTTAACTTTCTCACTGATGTTTACCTTAGAGAGTCAAATTAAGTGTTTTTATTTTTTCTAAAAATATTCTCTAAATATCACACTATCGGAGACTACTTGTCATTCCTGGAAAGAACAAATATCAAAGACTTTCTAACTGATCTTTAACAACTTCTGTGAGGTAAAAGAGATGCTGATGGTTACTCTATCTCTCTTTACAAATTATGGTAAAGACTCTGTTACGGCCTGGTGCCGTGGCTCACGCCTGTAATCCCAGCACTTTGGGAGGCCGAGGCGGTAGGACTGCTTGAGGCCAGGAGTCTCTCTTACAAAAAAAAAAAAAAAAAAAGACTATTATTTAAGATAATATAACCTGTATATCTATTTAACATGGCTTAGGTAAAAGTGCAATTCATGCAACGTAATTCAAACAAACAAACGAGGGTGTGACTGTCAACCCCTTTTAGACCTACAATCTCCACTCTTTCCTTAGAGTATGTCTTTTATGTGTATAACTCATCTAACATACAGACAGCATTAATGTCAATTCATATGTTAGCAAAATTAAATTACTTAGAAAAAACTAAAATAGGTAGAAAGAAAGATTCTATATTTTCTTTTTATATCCCAACCGATAGATCAGTGCATACCCTCAGAGGTATACAGCCACTCTGTAGACTTCAAATCCAAATCACTGAAATTAAAATTTTTATGTACAGTAAATAAAATATCATAATACTTAGAGCATGTCAGATTCCATAATTAATCACTCAGTTTGCTAAAATTAGCTTAGGTCATCGCAGTACATGATGTGGCTCTTTTTCCTCATACTAACACTAGGAATATTTTACTTGGATTAGCCATATACCCTCCTGCAGGTAACTAGCAAGAAAAGTGATTAAACTATTATTGTAAACAAAAATTTTCTATCTTCTTCCTACCACTCAATTTACAGAAACGCAAGTTTCTAAGCAAAGAACCTTTATATATAAACATTTTCTTAAAAGAATAACAAAAATTATAAATTTGCCCAACCTATTATAAAAGATAGAAGAATACCAGATTTAGGAAATATTGATTTTGTTGATTATTCTGCCCCTAAATGAGAGGGGAAATACAGGAAAAGGCTATCATTTGGCTAGAAAAGAGAATTATTTAGTCTTGTACTTGTTGATTTAGAAGAATACATAGAGATATCAGTCTTGAAAATGAGATAGAATTCTTTATTAGGGAAAAGAGAGAAGGAAAGAAAAATGAAGAATTTTGTGAACAATTAAAATGAAAGAACCAAAAATTGCCAGAGTTTTTCTTCGCATTCAATTGGTCGCTATGTCTGAATTTTAAAATGTCTCATACTCTGTCCCCTCTTTTTCAACTCTTTTGTCATTAAATCCTTATCTTTAACCAGATTTTTTAAATAGCTTTCTCAATAATTTGTCTTCAATGTCTCTTCTCTTCATCTTTCACATTATAAATTATCTTCTAAAATAATATGATCACATCATTACTGTAAAAAAAAAAAGTGACATTCTCATTCATAGCATTTGGATGAATTTACTGGTTTTAACTAGAGTTATAGAGTCAACCACATCATTTTTAGTTCATTTTTAGAACCCTTCACAGTTCCGTCTTCAAATAGTTTAGCTGAATTTACAATTTTTGCTAGTTTTAATTGGAGTTTTAGTAATCAATCAGCAAGTATTTATTAACTGTTACACACTGGACTAGGTTTGTAAGACTATCCTCACAGATCTTAAACTCTAGTTTGATACTGCAAGACTAACAAGCTTTTTGACACTGCTTCATTATTCAGCACTTAATTGTTCTGTGCTCACTGTGTAATCTAAAATCAAAGAGAGCAGATATCGAAGAATTAAGGAAAGGCTTCACAGACCAGGTGGAATTTTAGCCAAAAGTTGAAAGGCAGGCAACACACAGAATGATAGTAAAAAGGATTTAATAGATACAGAGGAATCTGACAGAAGTGGAGGTGTAAGGACAGGCCTGAGAAGCATCACTGGGAAGGGAATTAACAGGAATGAATGGGGTAACTGTAAAGGTGTGAGACAGTAATGACAGACAACAATGAGATACAATCTTAACTAGGGAAGGTGGAGTCCCATTATAGAATGTCTTGAAAGCCAGACAGGTGTTTAAATTCAATTTTATAGATACCAATTAATAAAAAGGGAATAGATTGCATAAGATTATTTTGGCATCTATATTTGTCCATATGGAATAGACAGAGACAGGTAAGCAGAGATATTTGGAAAGAAATTACAGAGCTTAATGAGAGATTACAGTTAAAGAGAAGCAATCATCAAAGAATATAAAGTTTCTAGCATAGGAAACTATAAGAATGGAGACATCACTAAAATCAACAGGAAAGCTGAGAAATAAAGAAGGATTGAGAATGGGGAGGGGATGGTTTTAGACATGTTAGATTTAAGCATATATAAGTGGAGCTATCCTAAGGCTGTTCTATAGCATAATATCAGGTTGAAGCCAAGATCCAGGGTAGGAATACATAGGTAGAGTGATCTATCAATGCCTTGTATTTATTTAGGGCTTTATCACTATATAGCCATATATTATTAATTTTGAGCCTCAAAATGCAGGAAGGTAGAAGAGCAGAAATTATTACTTTCATTTCACAAATAAAGAAATTGATGCTCAGAATTAATGTAACTTGCCCAAAGTCAAATGGTTTGTTAGCAGCAGATCAGGAAAATCCTGGTTTCTATCCTTGTCATACTCTGAAAGCTTCCAAAAAGAAAGCAAAGCTCAAGGCCCTTCTTTCAAAAGGAGTCATCAGCATAGAGGCAACAAGTAAGCCCATGAGAATGTATAATTCTTTGAGGGCAGGAGAACAGAAAAAGAAAGGATTCCTAGCAGATACCCATAATTAATTAAAATGTGGAAGGAAGAGAGCCCAGTAAGAGGCAACAAGTTGACAGGAATACTCAACAGGGAAGGGGAAAAAAAATCAAAGCCAGAAAAGTGCAGAGTCAGGAAAGCCAAAAATGGAATAAGTACTCAGTGATTTTAAATGCCAAACAAAGCTAGAAGAAGATGAGGATCTGGCTTGGAGGTGACACATTTGATGGCTGGAATTTTTTCAAAAGTTTAACTCTTAAAATATTAGCGGAATAAAAAAATTCCTTCAAAATGTTTATGACTATCAACATGCATTTGGTACACCAATAAGAGAGAATTTTCTTTTATTTTTCATACATTTAACTTTTATTTTATAAGTTATAGTCACAGAAAATAAGTTTTTCAACGTTGAAAAATTACAAAGTCTAAGAAAATAAAGCATCTATTAGTCAAATACTAATCAAATAATATATATTAATTAATCAAATAGAAATTTATTTCATCTTTTAAATCACAGCTCAAATATATTTCACTGTAACCTGATCAGTTATTTCACTTGGCAAGAAAATATTTTCAGCTTTTACCTTGTCCATATCTGAGAGACTTTTGATAAACATAAACAATAGTTTAACTATACTTTTTGCTGTAATCTATATTACCAATTAGAAGATTCAGCAAAGGAAAAGAGGAGAGCTATAAAAAAGCAAAACTAGATATATGGAAAGCAAAATTACATATAAAGTAATTCACCAAGTTTTAATAACAAATGCTGTTATATGGTCAGTCTTCCTATCATATATCTAACTTCTTGTCTTAAGTGGAGTTAGCATGCAAAGAAAAGTGAACTATTTTATCCTTGTCCTAACATGGCAGATATAAAATATTTTCAACTCAAAGAAACCTTTATTAGTGACATTTGCAGAACACAGCACTATCTTTCCATGAATCAAGTTTTAGAAAGATCCTTGGAAATTATATCAATCTTAAAGTTTTAAAAAATTTAATAGGACCGTCAATGAATTACAAATTTAAAAGACACAAACAAGCGAATCAAACCACTTGCTACTGACCTTGTTCAAGTCTGAAGAGGGTCTTTTCCAGCTTTTCCATTTCGTTTAGAAGTAAAATTCGAATTTGTTTACTGTGTCCCATTTTGGCTTCTAGAGGATTTGAAACCTTTCAGAAGAATTAAAAGAACTGCAAAGTCCAATGAGTTACCCCTACAAAACAAAAAGGAATTAAAATAAAGAAAATAATTTATTACCTTAAACTCTCCAAAGCTGGCAGTGGCACTTACATGGTATGGTCTAACTGTGTTTTAGCCCTAGCAGAGTAATGAAAAAGAATGAATCTTATATAAGATCGGAAAAGTCCAATTAATAGGTGTTTCCTCCCCTCGAGCACAATGAGTGAGACCTAAGCAAATACTGTACTACAGATGCTTACAATTAAAAAGCAAGACAAAAAAAACCTAAAGCATGCCCGAGAAAAGCAATAGATTAGGAAAGTCCGGAGTTGGGGGGAAATTCCTAGCCCCACGGCAAAGGGCTCTGAAGACTCCCAATGGCACTTCTGCTTACAAGAGATTAGTCTGCTCAAAGATAACAGGTGGGAGATCTCCCCATTCCCAAATTCGGGTTGGAAGCCACCAATGGGGAGATGAGAACAGAGAGAAGCAGTTGTTGCCCCTGGAATAGCTGCCGTAGCCAGAGATGTACGGAGAGAGCTATAGATAGCAAGAATGCATTTCCCCGCGAGGCCAGCGGCATTCCTAGCACTTACGCCGGGCAAGTTATCCGTGCGGCTTCTGGGACACTGCAGACCTGCGACTCTAGTCTTAGGGTCGGCGGAGGGGCGGGAAGGAAAGCAAAAGGGGAAACGCTGGCCGTCCACCCGCGGGGAGAAGCCGCAGCCTCAGGAGGGCCGGGCGCCGTGAAGGGCAAAGGGAGGGGCTGCCGCGGCCGGGACAGGGCCGGGGCGGCTGTGTGAGGCGCAGGGACCTTCCCGGCGACTCCGCCTCGCGCCGGGCCCCGAAGAGACCCTGGACCTCCCAGGGGGCGGAACGCGCGCTCGCTCAGGTGGGAGCGGACCGGGCCCCTTGCCCACTTCCGGGCGGCTCCGACCCGCTCGCCCCGACCGCTAGTCTCGCGAGAGCGTGGGCGCCGCAGAGTCTGAGGCACCGGGCCCGGGTCTAGGAGGTCGCTCTGGCAGACGCCACGAACCTCTCCTTGTTCTTGCCACAAGGAAGGTGCAGCGGCCGGGGTGCGCGCCTCCTTTGACAGCCTGCCCGCTCACGGTTGCAAGTTAAAATCCTGCGGTACCAGGCTGCGAGCTAGGTTGAGCTGCGCAGCACGATCTTTTTGTGGAAAGGGCTGAATGGTGTGGGGAACCTGCGGCCTCAAGGCCACGTGAGGCCCTCCAGACCCCCAGCGCGCCCCGCGACCGAATCCAAACTTAACATTTGTTCTGTAAAATTTGAATTCAGTCAAAAGGCTGCACCCAAGGATCCAGAAGCCACAGGTAGCTCCAAGGCCACAAGTTCCCCACCCCTCTAAGTGCCAACAGACAGGGCACATGCTCCTGAATGCAGACCCAGAGGACTAGGTAGGTGAAGTGTGGCCAGTCTGCAGACAGTACAGAGTGCAAAACCACCGTCATTTACAGCATCTGGTTGTACCTAACATACGCTGGATAGACCTGAAGACCATCTGAGATTAAACCGCACTTATTTTAAGTCAGTAATTCAGGACTCTGCAGATGTCTAAGGAGATTTTATGCCTGACGGAAAAGGAAAACCTATCCTGCAGGGCTCTTGGAGGGCGCCTAATGATCATGAGAACGGACAAGAGGACCAGGGGCGGTGGTTCATGCCTATAATTCCAGCAATTTGGGAGGCCAAGGCAGGAGGATCACTTGAGGCTAGAATTTCTAGATCAGCCTGAGCAACATAGCTGGAGACCCCATCTCTAAAGAAAAGAAATTAAAAACATAGCGGGGGTGAGTAGTGGTGCGCGCCTGTGGTGTGCGCTATTGGAGAGGCTGAGCCAGGAGGATGGAAGAAAATGGACAAAAGGTTCGGGTTAAGTTAGTGGGGTGCGTAGAAGAATCTAGCTTCTTTTATTGTGGAATTGCTCTAGGTCCAAGAAGGATAAGGGGTTTAAAAAAACATACTGAAATATTTGTTTAAGTAGACTTCTGAGAATGGCTAGTTGCACATGGTCCAAAACGGAGTTTGGGAACCCATAGCTCATTTATGATCACCTACTATTTGCCAGGCATATAGGTGGTAGGAAAGTAGCAATAAAACAGCTACTGCCCTCGTGAACTCCTACATTTTACTGGTGGCAGGCAGATAAATAAATTATATAGGATAGTAAAAGGTTGTGAGAAATGAGGGAAAGGGGAAAGTGTAGAAGAGTCGGCAGAGGGAGATTGGCAATTCTAAATACGGTGGTCAGTAAAGTGATGTCAAACTGAGAGAAGGAAGAAGTTGTCCAGGTGACACGTAGAGAGAGATACAGGATGTGCAAGGCCATGAGCTGAGAGCATACTCCGTGAATTAAAGGAGGCCACTGTAGCCTAGTGAAGAAGAGAGTGGTAAGAGATTAGGACAGACAGATGGTGTGGGATGGGCAGCCAGATCTTGTAAGGTTTTGTAGGCCATTGCAAGGATTTTTACTTTCTACTGTGGGAAGGCTTTTACTTGTTACCGTGGGAAAAAGAGCCATTGGAGGATTTTGAACAGAGTGACATATGTTGATTGACCTTTTAAAAGGATTAATCTGCAACTTGATGAGAAATAGCTGAATAAACTGTAGAGTGTAGCAAGGAGACCAGTTAGAAAGCTGTTTCAGTCAGCCGAGCAAGAAAAAGTAATTTGTGAGTGTGTGTGTGTTTTGGGGAAACGGTATTGCTATGAAAGTGGTGAGAAGTTACTGAGTTATGGATCTATTTTGAAGGCAGAGCCTATAGTATTTGCTAGTGTAGAAAAAGGAGTCAAGGATGATTCCAGGGTTTTTAGTCTGAGCAACCAGAAAGTACTGTTCAATAGAAATATTAAGTGCCACATAGGTAATTTAAAATTTTTAAGTAGCCATATTTAAAAAAAGATTAAATTAATTTTAGTAACAATTTATTTAACTCAATATATCTAAGATATCATTTCAACATGTAATCAATATAAAAAGTTATTAATGAGATATTTTACATTCTTTTTTCATACTATCTTCAAAATCTGTGTGTATTTTACACTTTCAGCATTTCTCAGTTTTGACAACTACATTTCAAGTGCTCAACAGCTTCACGTGGCTAGTGGCTGCCATATGCACAGTACAGAAGAAATTGCCATGTACTGAGAGAGAAAGAAAAAGGGAACGAGTAGGATTGGAGGGTGAAAATCAGAAGTTTGTTGGTAGACATGGAAAATTTGAGATAACTGTTAAACATCCCAGTGGATTTAGCATTTGTAGCCCTGGTCTCCAAAGCAGTGTTTTTCAAATTGTGAGTTGTAACCAATTGGAGGATCATAAAATCAATTTATTAGTTGTAACCAGCAATTTTTAAAATAAAATAGAAAAGATTCAAATGCATTACATTTAATAAAAGTATTATTTCATAAAACTTCTGTTTCTATTACTTATTTTTTGATGTACTGAGTCACATGTTCCTATGGGGGTTCATGGTTAAAAACAAGATTGAAAGTGACTGCTCTAGAATACATGCTGCATAGAGCCATGATTCATGATTATGAAATGGTACCTGAGGTTGAATCCCAGCTCTGCCACTAACTGTGAAGTTTTGAAAGGTACTCAACCTGTTTGTGCTTTGATTTTTCCAAAAGTAATATGAGGATAAAAATATTATCTACTATTAATTAAATGAGGGCTTAAAACTATGCCTAATATATACCAAGTACTGGTGTAAAGATAGATGTTAGCAGAGAGGAACCCTGACTATGTTGTGAAAAACAGATCATGTTTATGTTTGTCTTCAGGCACTGCTTTTTCATACGCTATTCTACTTTCTGTCTCTCCTGTGGCCGTCTCATCACATGGCCCTCCTGTTGATCACTGTTCTCCAGGGCTTCAAAATTTGCCTTTCCTGCCATTCTTCCTCCCAAGAAAACTCTCACTGTATTGCCCAATGTTTCAGCTATATACAAGGAGTAAAACAGATGGATGACATGAATTCCTTTAGCAGTGATTTATTCTTACACAAATGCTTGACATTTAAAAGAAGATTTGTTAATCCAAATGATCTTAATCTTGGAGATTTCATAGTGTGAAAGAAGTGAATAATGTTAAGTAATGGAACCATTATTTAATATGTCGTGCCTCTAAGATTAATTTTATAAGCCACATAGTATCCTTTTTAAAAAGTAAAGTCACACTAGTGTGCTATTTATGAAGTTCTGGAATGCCAGTGAATTTGCAGTCTAGGGCTCCAGTGGTGCCATGTGCAGCCTTCATTTGGGCACACATTTGTCTTGTGCCTGTCCTGTGCATGACAGTGAGCTATATATACACAATAATCTCATGCTGTAGTTGTCAAGAGAAGACTCTCCTTGGAACATCTGATGGATAACCTCAACTATTTGACAGTCACGCTAGTGTTTTCTGAAACATTGATGTTAATGCACTTGGGAAGTGGGATAAGGGCTGTGGTCAGAAGAAGCTTTCTTCAGGTTTGTGTATAGGTATGTGTGTTTTCTGAAAGGAAGGGAGTTATTTGGGGTATTAATTATAGATAGGTCCTAATCCTGGGATCTTCTGGATCTGAAATGGGTGATGCTGCCTTATTTGGTTTTTATACTTGTCAGCATTTTCTGTGTATTTTATTTTATGGCAATGTATAATGACATTATTATAATGTCATAATTTTATTTTGTGAAATTTGGAATTGTGTTTTCGAAATCTCTTCTAAATTGAACAATTTATTCTATACTTTTGAAATACCCAGACATAGCCAGTGAAGAGAAAAAGGGAAGATACCAAAAGAAATAAAGTTGAAGTCAAAGAAGTGGAGGACCGGAATATAATGATATAGAGGTATAGAAAATCAGAGAGAGATTTTTCAAAAAAGAGATAGTACAACTTAAAGAAAATGGGCTTTGGAGAGAAACCTTGGATTGGTTTTAATCTCTCTGAATCACAGTTGATTTACCCATAAAATGAAGAGGACAACACCTTATTTGCAGGGTCAGTATGAAGATTAGATGAAA